TAAAGAGTTTGCTAGCTCTTGCCTTAGAATTTCCCTTATCACCTTCCAGGTAACATTCATGCTATTTAGACTGAGTCTGAAATCTCTCCCCATCATACTGCACCTCTCTGAATCACCTTTGCCTTCTTTTACTCCTAACTGTTCAAACCCTGTACACTTCCTTCAAATCCTTTTTGTTTCCTCATCCCACTTCTGCCTTAACATCTTCTCTAGGGCCCTCCCATGGGCATAGCACAATGTATCACTCTTTGCATTCAGAGAACTTTCATTTAAAGTGTGATCCTTCCATCAAGCTTCCCTTGGTTTAATAAAATAATATAATTACCTATAACTGTGGTAATATTGTACATAATCTCCTGCTTTAGGTTTTGAAAGAAAGAAGGAAGAAAAAAAGAAAGAAAGGAGAGATAGGAAAAGGTAGAAAGAAAGGAACAAATGTTATGTTGAAGGCGTCATTCTTAAAGGATAGTTAGTTGTGTAGTTCATCTTTTTATTTCCTTACATCCCGAGTGAGCCAAGTTTGAGTCTTTTTAATTCTCAGTTTGCCCTGTACATGGTAGGTATTCAATAGTTATTAAATCAATATGTCTCTGCTTCTCTCTGACCTCCGGGCTCTCTTAAAGAACCAAAAGAATATACTTTCTTCCAGGAAAGATTTCAGCAACTTGGTCCAATCTCACTGAAGCCATCTTTGGGTGAATCCCTAGGAACTTACCAGAAATCCATAATTAATGTCTTTCAGGAAATATATAAGGAATATCAACATGAAACTTCACTTTCAGGTCCTATAGATAACTGCTGCAGAACTGGCAGGGGAACAAGGAATTCAGGAAGTGCCACCCTAGTAGAGATTTGTAGAAATGAAGTTTTCTTTTAAATGGAAAGAACACACTGTATTGAAAAGCCAGAAGGTGTGTGCATGTATATGCACACACATAAACAGAGAGCTCATTTACTTGAGCATTCTCTTATTGCTAAGAGAAGCTCCCCTGAATGGATAATGCACAGAGCAGCTCTTCTTGGTCTATGCCTGCTCATGGTAAAAACAGACTAGAGCTAGGCCAGTGGAAAAGGGAGCCCATTACCAACGAACTGGTCTTGATGATGGAGAAAATGCTGCTGAGGATCCCTGAGCAGATCAGCAGCTCCTTTTGTTGTCTTAGGTGTAAGTGGATATGATGAAGGACCACAGGGAGAAGGATGCGTCTGGATTCTGCAAGAAAAGAGGCAGAGAGCCCTAAGGTGATATTCGGAAGAGAGCTGGCCATTTGTGTTAGCCTTGCTTGCCCAACCAAGCAAACCTAACTGCTTGTCGGAACAAGTGACTTGTTTCTACGGCTTCCAAACAGAGGTAGGACTGGGTGATGAGTTAGGTCATTTGCTTTTTTTCTATAAGGGTCTGAAAGCCAAGTAGATACTTTTTTTTTAGGCAATTGGGGTTAAGTGACTTGCCTAGGGTCACACAGCTAATAAGTGTCAAGTGTTTGGTCTGAGGTCAGATTTGAACTCAGGTCCTCCTGACTTCAGGGCCAGTGCTCTATCTACTGTGCCACCCAGCTGCCCTCTAAGAAAATACTATTGAGCTTCACATTCCTTTTGGTGAGCCAACCTTTGTTTTTCCAACAGAAATGACAGACAAACCACTCCACTTCCCTTCTAGTCTCATTTCAAATGTTGCCTGTAATGAGCGACATGTGGTACAGGGTGAGTCAGGGGAGAGCTTCCGAATGAAATTGTTTCAATGACTAACTCTTAAATTAATAGCACATCTCATAGTGAAAAGTCCATTTAAATAGTACATCTGGCCTTAACTACATTGACTGGACATGAAGATTTGATGTGAATTACCATTTATTAGCAGGTGTGAATTACCATTTGTTCATATCAATCTAGTGCCAAGTGGCCATGCATACATATCTACTTATGCCCCTTCTCTATCACAGCTGCTAAGCACACAAGGGTTTCACCTCAATCTGTTACATTAAAGCTCTGTTTCAATAGCAATTAAAATGAGGGTACATCCTTTGTATATTGATAAGCCTTTGATAATCAGAACAATCTAATTGCCAAATTTTGTTCTCCTTCATGAATTTAGACAACTTTCTTTTTTTTCCTTTCTCCCAACATCACCTCAAGTCTCATTTATTCAGGGTATGACAGCATTAGAGCTGGCAGTGGGGTTCAGGAAACTTGTTTTCTCTAGATCAGAGGTCTTTAACCTAGAGTCCATGGACCCCTAAGGGGTCCAAGAACCGGTTTCAGTGGGTCTGGGAACTTAGATGAGAAAAATTGCATCTTTATTAACTTATAACTAAAATTTATAATTTCCTTCAATTGTGAATGTAAACAACAAATCATCGTTCTGAGAAGGGAGTGATAAGCTTCATCAGATTGCCAAAGGTTTCCATGATATAAAAGGGGTTAGTTATTAAGAACCCCTGCTTTCTAGATCATCTCTGTCCCTAACTCGCTGTTGACATCTATAGACCTTATTTTTTCCATCTATAAAATGTTGATAACAATATGTTCTATACCAAGTTCAGAACATTGATGTGAGGATGAAATAATGGACATAATGAGACAAAAATACTTCAGAAATAACAGTGCTACCTCCATGAAAATAGTACCAACCTCAAACTTCCAAGGAGAGCTAGTTCTAGATAGGAAGATGAGCATAGAATATTGGACCTCTAGTATAACTGGGAAGAAATGGGAGGGGTCTGACACACACACAGATTCCATCAGACTCTTTGGCTGATGCAGCCTTGGGGAAATTGTATCACCCAAGGAGACTGATGGGGTCTGTGCATGCACCAGCTTTATTATTATGATAAGAAAAAATATCACTCTGATAACAATTATTTGAAACATGCTAAAAGTTATTCATATTGCATATATATATATATATATACATACAATATATATACATATATATATATATATATTACCAGAGAAGGAAAACAGGCGGCTATCTACTGTGCGGGCAATAGACTGAAGTTTCACCACGTCCATGGACTGTCCAATGTGCACCGTACTGGGCATGCTCCCCAGAGTCCCTCTCACAAACTCTGCGACCTCCTGCACAGTGAACATCTGCAGCAGCTCATCAAAGATAGCAGGGAAAGAGTTCAGCAGAGCAGCCTGCAAAAATAAAACAAAGCTGCTATTATTAGTTCTGGTTGGATGTCCTGCCAGTCTGTTTGCAGGGATGATAGTCTATGGCAGCAAGGATTGGACTGACACGCTTGCCTTAACTTCTCCACTGGTTTGGAAAGAGTGCAGCTTATGGGACACATGATCCACTACTGGGCTCTGCTACCAGTTAGATGGCGTCACTCTTAATATGAAGTAGGAATGGCAGGAGCTGGTCTCTGGAGGAGGGCAAGACCTTACCTCTGAGCAGCTCACTGAGTGATTTCTTTGCCAGTGAAGAAGATTAGGAAAAAGTTCTAGGGCTTTTGTAACTGTTTTTATTCAGCAAGCATATAAGAAAAGACTCCCTCTGTTTGGAAGGCAAGCTCTCTGGCTCCTGAACAGATTTAGAGATGCATAAGCCTTCCAAAGGAAGTGGCTGGTGTCAGTACGGAGACTTGAAGCAGCTCTGTGTGTAACAGCTTAGGAGTCTGCTAGCCCCAGGCCTACTATGGTGAACTTGAAAGTTTCATACTTCTGTAGGAGGAATGAACTTATTTTCAATTATGCAAATAGAAGATTCTGCAAATTATCTCCTTCACAAGGAATTACCACCTCTCTCAAGGGTAAATCCAGAATGGTTAGAAGTTGGAGTTTTTCAGGCATGAAATTCTCTAAAGAGGATTGTGTTAAGGGCAAATATTGGAATTTCAGAGCTGGATAGAACCATCTAGCCAAGATCTTCATTTTATAAGCAGATAAGTCAAGGCTCACAGGGTTCAACTTCATGATGCAAAACATAGTATTTTAATACTTTCAATGACTGGATGCAGAGGAAGGAACAGATTTCCTCATTCCTAGCCCAGTGAATCTTCTACTACACTAAGGAGCCTTTTTATGGCATGACACAGTAACTCTGGTGACCCATGGATGTTAATTTAGTGTTGGAGAAAGTGGAGATAATTCTCACTGCATTCAAGACCTAGACAGAAATCATGACATCTTACAGATTCCCTAGACTGCCTTTATTGGATATGATTGTGGCCATGATCCCAGAGATCTGTCCAAATGGTAAAAAGCTCAGGGTTAGTCCCTTCTGACAGGCTGTAGCCTGGTGGCCTTTCATCCTATCTCAGGCCCAGGAGGGCAGGCTTAAGATTTGAGCCCCAAATTCAGAGTATCTCCACCTTATAAGGCCTGAAACTACCAAAGCAACTACAAAAGGGAGGAACACCATCTATGAAGGATGGAGAAGAGATTTATGGGACCACCAGGAGGCTTGTTTAGAGGCCCTTGCTTCTAATGAGTGACATTTGTTCTGTGGTGAGATAGGGCTGGCTGGAAGACTATTTGCATGTATAAATTTGACCTAAGATTTCTGAGGTTTCTGTTGGATGTCAAGACATCCCTTGTTCACAAGGGTCATTAGGCACCAGGTGCCTTGGGTAGCCAAGGCTATCTTTTCAATCTAACAGTATTTTCCTTTGTTGGGCACAAGGTCTTGTGAAAACAAGGTAACTTCTTATTATGGTTAGGACTGGGCTCAAATTATACCACTGAAAGTTTTCAGACATAGGGAGAAAAAAGGACAAGAAGTCATTGGTATTCCCAAGGGACCATCACACTCAAGTTTTTGTTCCTGGAAGTGTGAGCTCTGCTGTGCCTTGTTCACAGGGATGAGAGAGAGAAATCTATATGGATGAAGTCTCCTGTGCCACACATGCTTATGTCCTCTAACAGGCAAACCAGAGACATAAAGAAAGCTAGGGAAGCCAGTTCCAGCCCCAACAAAGCATTAGCATAGTGACAGAGCTGGCCTGAATCTCTGCTTATTATCCGGACAGAGCAGGGATGTGGGATAAAGGCATTCCTGAATTTTCTGCCAGTTTCCTGTATGCTCCCCAAGCTTATTCTCTGGCTAAGAGGAAGAGCAGTTGCCTTGGACCTATATGGAATGCTGGAGCAGCAGGAGCAGATGGGCTGGGGGAGGGGAAAGGGTCACTCAATTCAGCCACCTTGAAAGGTATGTAGGGGAGCTCTGACTTACAGAATTAAACGATGACCTTGAGGTGCCCCCACTGTTTTGTGAGGTATAATTGCCAGCTCTGTTCACCTGTCTTACGAGGCTGAGGGCCCTAGGTGGCAATTGGGGGCAAGGGGTAATGGGGCGGCAAGTAGAAAACAAAAGGCAGACATTTCAAATATTAAATATGACAGGATTTCCACATATAGAGTTGTCTGTATCAAGGTGATGAGGAAAGCTATTTGATTTCTTTTCAGGAGGAATGGAAACCAATTGGACATTTCTTTTAGCAGACTTGCTTCAATGGTACATTCCTACTGTCAAACCGGCCCCACAGTCTTATTTCTCTTACTGCTATTCTTATAACAATGCAAAAAAAAAAAGACTGAGTGGATTCAGGGAGAAGATGTCTCTAACAGGTACCAATAAGCAAACACACTTATTGTCTAACCCTGACTACCATACCTTTTGGCTAAGGATTTCCAGTTATCTTCTGCTAGAACTGAAATGTGCTGATGCAAGGCCATTAACTCACACTTTGATTAATAAGAGGATTCAAATACCCAATATATTGAGAAAGATTTTTGTGACCAAGATACTGCTAAAAACTCTAAAGTCATCTAGTCATTGCAAGTTAAGTCTGAAGAGTCTAAAGAGGGAGAATAAAGTTGTATTCATTTTTTAACTGAATTTGTGATTTCTTTGATATTGGGAACTTCCAATAGGGAAATTCTCAATGCAGATTGGCAATTGTTCTGAAACTTCTGTTTGTTAGGGAGATGTTGTGGGCACTGGGAGATTAAATGACTTGCCCAGAGTCACCTAGTCAGTACATGTCAGAAGAGGGACTTGAACCCTGGTTTCTTTGGTTTTGAGGCTGGCTCTCTAGTGACAATGTCATACTGTCTCTCCCTCCATTCTTTACTAGAAATCTGTTCACCTGGAAACTAATGCATACTACATTGCACAATAAATCAGAATTCTCTGCAGAAGTGCTTCCATTTGAGCAGTGGGAACACCAAAGAAACTATCCATTATGACTAAGAATCAGTCAGATCTGGATCCAGAACTACACCTACTAACCTGTGTGAAAAGGAGTGTTTCAGAGCTTCGGCTGTCCAAGCTCAGGACAAATCGGATGGACTGGAAAAGTTCTTGGATGCTGGATCGGAATTGTTCTTCTTCCATTCCACATGTAGCTCTGGAGTAAAGTATCCGAGACTGGACAATGAACTTAAAAAGGTATTCCAAAGCCTTAGGGAAGCAAGAAGACAGTGAAAATGAGAGCTATAAAGAGATACAGGAATGGAACCAGGTAGCAAAATAGCAGAGTTAGAAAATTAAAATTTGGTGCAATGTAAAATTACAATGGGTAGAACTGCATTTTCTTTTATAATGTATTTTCCAAAAGACAACTCTCAAAGTGGTGATAAAGTTGATTGCCTCTTTCTTATAGGTGAACTCATCAAATGGCTTTAAAACTATTTTCTTGGGTACTGGTATTATGGAACCATGGACTAATATTGGAAATATTTGGATAGAAAAAAAAGGAAGAAATCTGGGCCATGTAAAAATTAAGTTTCTGCTAATTTCTTTTAATGGGTTTGGGAATAAGCAGCACCAATAAAAATGATGGTAATCCTACTTTGAATTTATATATTATTTTTATTTGAAGGAGTAAAGGTATCATCTTCTCTTCAAGAGAGTAGCCTAGGGGCTGGCAGCGGTATTTCTATTTTACACTCATGGGAACAAAAAAATGCAGTGAAATGACTTGTTCACAGCAGGCTGAGCCCACATCCCAGGTCTTCCATTCCTCAGTCCAGCTGTTTTGCCACAAATAGTTCATAAACAACATGAAAGATAAAGGCATCTAATTTGTTTCTGGAGCTGAGCTGGGGTTTGTGATCTCCCATAATGTTTAGCTATGTCCACAAGCAAAAGGAGCCTTTTGAAAAACAGGATAAAGATGGAACAACAAGTTTGCTGATCCAAAAAAAAACCCAGCTTTCCTAAGATAATTGAGACTCTTGGCAGACAATGAAGTCAAAGAGACATCAGGAAGAAACTCATCCAAAAAAGTGAGGATGGAACAGTTGATTAAAATATATAAAAGAAAACTCTGTTCTCAAGCTCCAAATATGGCCTGCTTATCTGTCAATGGGCTAGCATAAGAAAATTCAATCTTCTGCTGCTCATGCAGAGCTATCTTGGCACTGAGGTCTCTATCACGGGAAAAAATTGCCTTCGAGTCTTTTCGGACCAGAAGATTATTAAATTAGAGTCATAGTATAATTCACTCTTTGCTACATGTGCTACAAGCAGTCTTTTAACTACTGGCCTGTACAGGCCTAATAAAGTTTATTATTTTCCAACCCTTGGAAAGTAGAATGAAATAAACACAGTATCTCTATGTGAGTGAACTATGACCTTAAAGAAAAGAAATATAAGACTAGTAGTTAATTAATACTGACGGGCAAAAAAGTACTTTGAAGTATAGGGTTGTGGAATTATCAACATTGGCTATTCGTTTAAGAAGTATGGTAAAAAAGAAAAATCTGAAAACCCCCATAAAGTTTAGCATAACATGAACTGGTTGTTTTTAAATTGTTTTGGTAATTCTTAATCTTTAAATTTTATTTACAAGTTTAAATTTCAGCCCTCTGTCAAACAACTCCTTAAAATCTGAGTATGCCTTATATAGCATGTATTCCATAAGGATAAGTGAATGAGGCAAGTATCAGGTCAACCACTTTCCAAATGCATTCAATTTTCAAAAATAGGCAACAAAAAGTATTAAGCTGTGAAAACAATCTAAATCATGTACCTATGGTCCAACTTATGAACTGGAAAAAGTGCATTTTTTATGTATCAGGAAAAATTTTCATTTTCCTGATACATAGCACATAGGGTAATGCCAACTGACAGATCTCAATAAGGAGGTCCCCCTTTACTACATTACTTTACCATTAACTTTACCACTGATGGTTACATCACTTGTGAGAATCACTGTTTTAATGAATAGAAACAAGAATCTCAAAGATAAAATTTGCTAAGGGAAAGAGTGGGACAAGACCTACATTTTTATAAAATAACATTCTTTGCTTTCCTTCTGGAAAGAGAATCAAAATAACAGGGTAAATGTGATAATTTCTGAATATCATTAGGCGAATCATTTAGACCCAATGATACCTACCCTCATGGCCTCTTGAATATGGTCCTGTCGAACGAGTTCTGCTGAGCGGTCCATGTACCACTTTAAACAACGGATTAGTTCTCTGTGGAGAAGACACATGGATGAAAATCCTCCTTTACTGTTGAGGTGGCAAAGTTTGAAAACTTGGGGCTGGCAGCCTTTGATTTAGAATTATGGGATGTACTGAAGGCTGTCCTTTGCCAAATGCAGTGAATGGTTAGAGGTAAAAGGTAGATTTATGATAGTGATGCATAAACGTGTGATGGGAAGGATTATTAAGAAAATGTTCTGGTGCAGAATTAGTAATCAAGTTTTAAATCACTAAAATGTCAATAAATCAACTTTAGGGATGAAGATAAAAAACCTCCCTGATCTTAAGAAATGATATTCTACTGGTGGAATTTTAAGTCCACAACTGGCCATGGGTGAGATAATTTTGTTTTCACTTCTAAAATCACAACACACGGATGGTTTCCTATTTTACCTCTTCATAAAGACTGGCAGCATTATTTAAACTGTGTATTTGTGATGCAGTTGGTTATTAATTTGATTCACAATCTGCTGTATTTCTTCCACAGAGAGAGAGACTTTTTCTTGGTTCTTCTCATATTGGGTTGGGAAATTAATGGGATATGGGATATTGGAGGAGGGCCATTTTGGACAAATTGTTTTTGTGAGCAGCCATCCTCATAATTTTCTGGTGGTCATTCTGGGAACATTTCATCATGGCAAAGAACAGTCTGACCTGTGGCTAACCAATAATGTTCCTGACCTCTTCTGGTTCTAGTTCTGGGAAACAGGATTAGATCTAGATTTCAAATGCCTCTTCCTTAGGAAATCAAGATACTTTAAGAAACATTTATTTTAGAAGATAGATAAATTATTTCACGAAGCTTTGATATTAAATACCATCTGACCTTTGATAAACCACTAAACTAGGATTTTGATCCCTTTTACACAAAAGGCAAAAGATCTCGCAAAAAAGCAGATAGATGATGGTCAAATGGGGCTTACTTGTATGCCAATGCTCCAGCAAAGTGCTTCTGGATGTACGTGTCCATCACAGGCCGAAAATGGAAATACTTGCTGTCCCGGAGCAGATTAATGATGAACACCTGAAGGAGATTACAGAAGAGCATCATGACTCATTAAGAGAATTAAACATAACCCCTTGAAGGTGAGGGGAGTGGACATTCTTGATTTATTTAAGGAACAGTGATACATTAATATTTTATCTACTTGTACGTATAAATATTTGATTTCAGCTCTGTCTCTCCGAGGGCCATGGGCCTCTATCTTTAGACCCTGAGCTCCACCCTCCTCATCAGTGCTCTAAAGCAGAACTGAGACCTTGGAGATGACATCGTTTTATATACCTTGGGCTGGGTACTTACCAGGGACTGAAAGACCAAAAGACCATATTTTTCAGTATTATCATCCAAAATCACAAATAGTGTGTCCAAGATGTCTTGCAGGAACTGAAAGAATACCAAGAAACAAAGGGGATTAGTTTCAAACACCCTAGTTCATTTAACTCCTTACAAAAAAAAGGAAAAACCCAGTACTTTAACTGGGCAAATTCTCACAGGAACTCAGAACCAGTATTAAAAAAACTACTAGATTAAAAAAAAACCACAAATAGTGCTGAGAGATAACTTGAGTGGGAGAGGTCTTTGGGTATCTGAAGACATTAAATAAAAATTTCTTGAGGAGTCCTATCAAGGTTCTACTTTTCTGAATGAATGGTAAATTCATTGGTTATAAATGCTTTATGGTTTATTAAGAAAAGGTAAAGACCTAAAGATAGGAAACATACACATAAACAACTTGGAAATGAAGATGAAACAATGAATTCTTTATTAGCTCTAGATTTTCCTGCAATCTTCTTGATGAAATTCTCTGTGGCTCACATATCCTCATAACAAGCTAATAATCTCTTGGTCAAGACAAATAATGTTAAAGCAAGGAGTTTGATCGTAAGCAAACAAATAATTCATTTCTATACAAAAGGGTTCAACTTTATGATGCAAAACATAGTATTTTGGTAACTAGAATGGATGTTATAGCTTAGCCATATCATACCAGCTGCTTCTATTGTATACGACTCTAACAGACTATGCACATTTATAACAAAAGCTTTTTTAATAAAAAATAAAGGACCTAGGGAAGAGGAAGTAGTTAGGAAAAGAGAGTTTCAGGTGAAGGCAGGAGATCTGGCAGGATGGTTACTTTTGATCTAGAGCATTTATGGTTCCAAGACAAGGAAAAAACTCAACCAAGGCAGAATATGATAAGAATTGAGAGGTGCTATATTCCTGTAAAAAGGACAAAATTAGATGAAATGGAGCTAATATTCTGCTGGTCAAAATCCAATCCCAGAATGGCAGTAGATTCTAGCAGGTTTAAGATGAGTTAATGATGCCAGACTGAGATCTACTGCAACAATGTGCTTCTTTCCATACAGACTCCCTACTGCAGGCTTCTTTTGTGAATATTCCTTCTGGACTTATTGGTTGATATATTTTCTTGTAAAGAAAAATGTGCCCAGGGTATGCAGGAATTTATCTTAATGGCAGAAATCCAATACGATACTGTAAGAACTTTTTTTGATTCTATAAGAACTTAAAAATAATTATACCAATCTGGTCACTTGTTGAAAATGAAATTCAAAATGAGTCTCTGCAAGCAATAGAGTAGAAGACAGATTTTCAAAGTCTGTTTGATTTGGAAAAAGACCGAATTCAATCCTATTCATGGATTGAATCTCATCTTCTCGTGCTTTTTAAAAAGCATGTTGTAAGTGACCTCCCTGGGCCAATTTGGTGCCTGGTATGTAAAAAAGCTCCCCAGACAGAGGGAGAGGCAGCAGGACAGAATACAAAAACGATGGGTCTGAAGTTTGAGGATCTCAGTCTGATCCATCTAGAGCTCCTTCTTACCACCTATGAAAACCTGGATAAACCTTCATCATTTATGAAAAGAAGGGTGGGAGAGACTTTAGGATCTCTACAATCCCTTCTAGTACTAAGCATATAAACCTAACAAATGTTTATTAAGGCAAACTGACAGGTACAATCATGCCCAAAGACAGACAGGGATGAATGAGATCTTTTAGGATACATTTCAGACCCCAAATTCCATACTTAACTTCTGAATCTCAAAAGCATTTCAATTAAAAAAAAAAAAGGATTTTATTAAAATTCATTGTGTAGGGCCACATCCTTAAAAGGAAGGTTCATCTTAGCTTTAGTGAGTGGTGGAGGCATTTCTGGAGCCAAGAAAGGACAAGTATTCATTCTAGATTATATAGGAGTTCTGAAAAGAATCCTGGACTGGAAGGGTAGCTTGTTGTGGTGTTACCAATCCTCTCTGGGCCAGGAGCTGGGAATTGTAGCTAAGCGCTTCAGTCTCAAAGTGATCTGAGAAAAGTAGCTGTCTTCACATGGCTCCTCTGGATCCAAGGTGGAGGGGAAAGAAGAGTTAGGGACTACCTGAGCAAGTGGTAGCTAAGGCAGTTATTTAATTAGCTTTTACTGAGAATGATAAGAAAAAATGGTTAGACATATAGTTCTTTTGAGAAGGAGGCTAACAGAGCAAGAAAGACAGCATTTTATCAGCACTTATTTTGAGAAGAAAATGTACAAGACTTCGAGAAAGCAAAGCTTTCAAATGTTGATTTAAAAAGGTGGCAAAAAAGGCGGCAAAATTATTCAGGGGGAATAGCACATTAAAAAGAAAGAGCAAATTTAACCAAAAGCAAGCAGGTCCCCCCTCTTTACCTAACATGTTGTACTCTGGGATAATGGCAATACCAATAGAAGTTTAAAGGGAGTTTTGAGCATGATCACTAGAGGGAAGGGCAAAAAGATATTTTTTCCCCTAGACCTTTTGCTCAAATAGCACGTGCACAATCTCTAATGTAAAGTCAAAGTTAAGGCCTAGAGGTAAGACTGTGTGAATACCTTAACGATTTCCTCCCCACTGACATGCCGGAGGCGCCCCAGAATATCCATGATTCGGTCTGGATAAGCCTTCCACTTCAGCAAAGCAAGGAGGTCCACTATAAATCAAAAGAACAGCGCTCCTTTAGATAATGGTAATAACTGACATTTGTACAGCACTTTAAATAATTTTTAGAGTCTCACAATATTGTGAAATAGGTATTAAAGATATTTTCCCCACTTTACAAAGGAGAAAACCAGGGATCAGAGAGTTAATCAACTTTTTGTGGTCACAAAGCTAGTAAATTTTAGAAGTTATCACACCTAACAAATTGTCAAAGATGATAAAAGATGGGACCGGTCAATGTTGGAAGGATTGTGGAAAGATAGGCACCAAGACACACTCTTGGTAGAACTATGAATTGGTTCAAGCAATTTGGAATTATGCTAAGAAAGCAGCTAAGTGTCTATACTCTTACCCAGAGATCTAGGCTAGGCATGACACATACCCCTAGGAGATCAATGATAGAAAGAAAGGGCTCATATATGCCAACAGATTTATAGTAGCATTTTCTGTGAACTGGAACTGGAAACAAAGTTGATTTGCATCAGTTGGTGAATGACTAAATGAGTTGTGTGGTTCCTGAGTGGAATGTGGTATAAGAAATGATGAATACAGAAAAACAGGGGGAGACTTATGAACTGATGTAAAGTGAAGTAATCAGAACCAGGAAAACATTATATATGATAACTACAATTATGTAAATGGGAAAAATAACAAGCACAAGACAATGGAAACTGAATGTTATGAAATTATAAAGAGATAACATTGAGAAATGTAGATGATGTAAAAACAAAAGATATCAATAAAATATATTTAAAATAACAAAAATGATTTTAAAATATTAGAAGCGGGGTTTAAATCTTGTTCAAATTCCAATTCTGTTACACTATTCACTACACCACACACTACAAGTGATAATCAGAAACACCAACCGAAGGACATATCAGATACCACTACGATGTCTGATTTAGAGCTTAATTTCTGTTTCTCCAACAGGATGAACAAAAGACCTCAATAGGCAGTGAAATTCCCTCAACCCTTTGTGAAAGGGATGGCAGTGTCTGAGAGGGCATCTTGAGGGCTGAATGCACCCAAATAATTAAATTTGGAATTGAACTTAATTCAATGTGCATTTATTAAACATCTAACGTGCTCTGCAGACAAAGAATGAGGAAAAATCTAAATGGTCATAAAGGTCCTTTCTCTCCTATCTTGCACATACCCAGTGAAGCAAAATCAGTAAATAAAATGTAGCTGACAGTTCTGACCCTGTAGAAAGCCCCAAGTTGGACTGCCAAGAACCCCATGGGGTTAGTATGGAGTCCTGGTTCATTATCATACCATTTTGAGTGAGTTTGGTGGAAGACAGCTGTGTGGAGATAGAGAAGGTCTCTTTAGTGCTGCGCTGGAAGATGAGGCTGGAAGGAATGTTGGGACAGCCATTGTAGTCTTCTTTGCAGCATGGAAGGCCCAGGTAGAGTGCATGGTTATTAAATGTACTATTCTCATCACACTGCAGTTATAGAGAAAAGACAAGACATATCAGCTAAGAAGTTCCTTTAGCCATTCATCATATTCATGTCTTATTAGCAAAATCCAGTTACCCAGAAAATCTAGCTCTTGAATGACCTCATTCCCTTGCAGTCTGACATACTTAGCTGTATGTATCCCAGAAAGGATGGTTTCCTGTTCAAACCTCTTTCAAGTCCACCAGAGTTTCTAAGAACCATGGAGTAGAACATACATCTGGTCACAAAGATGACCGTTGTTCTTCCCAGTGAAAGAGAGTGCCTTAGACTGTCCACTGTGCTTTTAGACACTATATTATCAAGAACTGAAGCTGCGGGTGTTGTAGAGCATCTATGCCCACACCACCACCACCGTCAGCAAATTTTGCTATGGACACCCAAGACAGAGAACAAAAGATTCACCATCACAATTTGTGGAAAGAAAAGTGAATATCACATGGATAATACAGTTTCATCCCTCTGGCTAAAGCATTGCTCTTAAAACATCTGGATTCTCCTCAATTTCGTGTGGATGTGTGTTTAAAAATATATATATATCTATGTGTATATATATATATATATATACTACAAAGCACTTCAAAGAGAAATGGCCACAAGGGGGTGGCTTACAATGCAGTCCTTAGTTTGGGTGGGTTTGAGGACCCCTACCTTATAGACGTAGAGCTCGTGGATGTCATCTGACAGGGTGGTACCATCATCTCGCATCAGAGGAGTGAATGCAAAGCCAAACAGTTTCTTCTCTCCTTTGTCTTTTGCTATAATAAGAATCAAGGGATGAAGATTGGTTATTTTTTTCCTTTATCTTGCTTCTCAAATAAAGTCTTTTCTTGAACTACAACAGCTCCCATTCTTTTTGCTCTTCAGGCATTTCCTGGACTCAGGTGTGAAGAGGATGGCAAAGAAAGGACTCAGCCAGTTCTTCACTTACGCCTCTAGGTACCTAATCTTTCTAGACCCAAACTGCTACTCTTAATAGGACAGAACTCTGAAGGGGGAAGTTAAACAACTGCCACAGGAAAAAATACCCTGAGGAGAAGTGAGTTTCTCAAAGAAAATGAAGCTGGGGATTATCTACTTCAACAGAAGGGCCTCTATCTGACATCCTGGCTGTGGGCCATTTCTTCTGAAAGCTAGAGGAGCAATTTCTGACAATATTGTATCCCTTGAGTTCTGGCTTCTTGTAAACCTTCCCCCCTGTGCTTCAAGACAGTCATGTCCTCATGGTGAAGGGAGCCATTGCTAGCGCTCTTTAGGGAGGCCATTAGGAAGTTGTACTCACTAGAACAATGTCTGAATTCAAAGCGCAGGTGGGAGCCCCGGAACCTATCTATAGGGATGGGTAATTTGATGATTTCCCCCCAGCGAGGGCTGTTACTATGGTAGAGGACAAAGGAGTGATAAGAAGTCCTGCTGGGCTCTCCTGAGCCAAGGCTGATGCAGTCCTAGAATAAAGAATACAGAGAGTCAACATCCAAAGAAAGGTTGGTTGAAGGACAAAGTAGGAAGTGATAGCCCAGACACAAAGGTCAGTCCTTGTATTTTTGGGGAGTGCTTCATTTGGAAATGACTCCTATTCTTTCACTTAATTCTTACTCTCTACCATCCCAAGGGTCAAAAAAAGGAGAAACTTCAATTCCATGGAATCTGACATTCTTAGTAGCAAGTTTTAAAGTTGTTGCTAAATCTTTGTGCTCACACACTAATAGGATGATGATTCCTCAGGATGTTAATTTGGGACAGAAGTGACCTAAGTATAGCTGCCTAGCAAACTGAAAGAAAATGGACATTATGTTTGAAGCATTAATATAGACTGTTCATTCTGATTCAGAAAAGAAAACCCCAAACTGTATAGGATAGTGGAATACTAAGAAATCAACAGCATGGGAGATTTCATCAGATTAAAAAAAGTCAATGAACAAAATATAGGAAGAAAGCACCTATTTCTACCGTTGCACAATGTTCCCAAATAAACCTGCTGTTTTGAGCTTTCACACAGCACAGGGAAACCAAACTTGAATTGTTTTTTGGAGACAGACCTGAGAAAGTTAAAAAGTTGGACATCTCTGGGGTTTAATTTTGCTGAAACTTCCAAATTCTAAAACCAAAAAGTTTCTGTATAAAGACTTGGCATAAGGCTCTTCTCTGGAATGTGAGGCTTTTTGGATTGCCCAAGTAAAAGATGCTGCTCTGAGTCAATACCAACACTATGGAACAAGGCCTGGAGGCTCCTCTTACCCAATGCACCTTTCATATTGGGGCGTTATAAAGACCATTACTCTATAGCTGGATATTTTTTTTAAAAATCAAACATGGGGGCAGCTAGGTGGCACAGTGGATAGAGCACCAGCCCTGGAGACAGGAAGACCTGAGTTCAAATCTGGCCTCAGACACAACCCTTACTAGCTGTATGACCATGGGCAAGTCACTTCACCTCAACTGCCTTGCCAAAAATAGAATGAAATAAAAAAATCAAACATGAATGATTTACTTCTACCATTATTATCAACTTTAATTTCCATTTCTCTTCAGTCTTTATGAGATGGTTTTGATTAACTTCATTTACCTTCCATCTACGTAACATTAAACTATTACATTGACAGTTTGATAAATGGATATAACTTCAAGCATAAGCAATGTTCCAAATCTCTCCTATGGTTGCCTCATCTTTAGATGAGTAACCTAGGGGTGTTGGAGGAGATGGCAGATTTCTTCATGGTAAGGACTGAAATGAAATCCTATTGTGGAATCCAGTATCCATTCAGAAACAATGAGCTTACACTCAGGGTAGCTCCTCAGAGCCACAACGTTGTACTAATAAACACCTAAACTATCAGTGGGTCAGCAACACTACCTAGACTTGACTGAAGACAAAATTCAGTTCACTGAAGTCACTTGAGGAAAAGAAAGCTGAGGGAAACTTAGTGGTTATCAAAGGGATAAGAGGGGACTGGATAAGGGGAGTAAGGAGGTGCTCTTTTTCTTCCCATGGAATACGACAAAAAAGAACGGGTTCAAATTATGGGAGGGAAGACTTATGTCAGCTATTCAGAAGAACTTCCGTAAGGGTTGTGACAGAATAAGCTGGGTTACCAAGGGAGATTATAGAGTTTCCTTTAGAGATTAAACAAACAAATAAATACATATGAGCAGGTGACTACCTATCAGGGATGGTTTGAGGACAGACTTGCTTCAGAGGAAGGGATATGAACCAGATGAGCTCCTGCAGGGCATCCATGCCTTCTAGTTTTATGTCATTGGCCATGCAAGTCTCAAGCATGCCGTTAGTTGCTCTCCTTACCTTTAAAATTTCTCCGTCTGCATAGAGAACATACATGGTCACTTCGATATTCTTTTGCACACTCTTTCCACCCCTCTCGAAATCTCCCTTTTCCAGGGTTAGGTAGAGGTCATTTCGGATATCACCTGTGGTGAAAGAGAAATGAAAGCTTCTCACAAGGAGCAGAAGCTATGGGACCTCATGATGATGACAGAGAACAGGCCTCCCTGTGTTGTTCCTCTGAGGTATGTGCCGGCACCCAGTGCATTGCAAGCCAGGGGTCAATAACCATGGACATTCCAGTATCAATGAAGCAGAGTTTAGGGTGGTTAGTCATGTTTTCTTTAAGTGTTAATTCATTCACTACACTGTGACTTGAGGGGAAAAAAAAGGTCTCCTGGCCTAGAGGTGGATAATCAGGTTATTAGACCTTCCAGTGGAACAGCCTAAAATGACTATCAAGCTTTAAATTGGAGGAGATTTTGGAAACCCTGGGTAAGCCCAATTATCCCTAACCCACTAACTTTTTCTTTCCCTCACCCTGCAAACCTACATCCAGAGCTTCTCTTGCTCCTTGGAAAGGTTGTTTGCAGTTCAAACCTCTCTTTCTCCTGTGCAAGAATACCAAGCCTCTTTCCTGCTAGATTCTTGGCTCAGAAGCTGGTTCCATGCAGCTGTGCCAGGCAGAGGGCACTGGGCATGCCTGCCAATTTTTCATCACCTTGTTTGCAAGTGTTCTTGGAGCAGATGATTATATCCAGAAACACAGATGCTAGGTCAATGGAGGCAACATTCTGTCAACCCCTTGGGGTATCAGCTTCTCTAACCTCCAGTCTATTTGACCAGTCTTTACTCGGATATATGAGAGGCAGTCTCAAATTCACAATAGTCAGAATAATATGGTTGTCCTTGGGGGGATGCTGATGGAAAGGAAAGCAATGGCAGAATACTTGCTGATTATACACGTAAATACATACAAAATGTTCGTATTTAGGCTGCCCCAGCTTCTAAATTTAACACCTAGCAAAGTTTCTTCCACATATTCTAAAAGAGGGCTCATGACTTTCAGGAAAAATAGGCAAGGCAAGAAAAAAATATCTTCAAAGAAAGAAAACGGCAAAAAATAATGGATAAGGCAAAATGGAAGGTGAATTAGCAGCTGAAGAAACCCAGTAATGAGGCAATGGAATGTTCTGATAACAAAGGTGGAACCAATTCAGGTTGTCAGGTTTTAATACCTCCCCTCCTCCATCTTCGCCCTTGGAAAAACTGATACATTCTAATCTGTTTATTGACTATAACTACAATGAGACAAGAAGTTCTATTTTCTGGCACTTTGAGAACTTTCTGGGTTGGTCACACATTCCAGACTCCTTTTATATTTTATATAAAAACTCAGATGTTCCTGCCCCTTTTCTACACTGACCACACCTGAAGGTTGATGGATTGCTAAGACACTGGCCAAGCTGTTACCTGTTTGTAAGAACAAAGCTGCCCTGGGGGCTGAGCATGCAGGACGATCACATGTTATCAGAAATGGGTACATTTCTTTGGGAGGGGCCATCATATGAATGGGAATAATAGCACTTTCTATGACTTAGATTAGTCTCTGAACCTTGACGAAGTAGAGAAATGCTGCTTCTTAAATTCACTATCAGGGATCGGGAAATATTAAAGCTCAAAAAAAAAGGAAAAAAAAAGAAAAAAAAAGAAAAAGCCAGTCCATGACAAATGAACAGTATGCTTCTCAGAAACTAACCATAATATGTATTTAGAGGCTGATCATGATGTGTATCTATAAACTGACCAAAATATACATTCATAAATTAACTAAAACTTATATTCAGAAGCATGTCAGAAACTGACTATAAAGTTTATTGATAGACCTAACCAAAATATACACTCAGCGATTGATCATGAGGTATAGGCAAACCGACCATAAGGCAAGCTCAGAAAACTGACGGTAAAGTATTTCCAGAAATCTCATAAGCATTTTCTAGAGCTTGTGAAAGCTAAAATGTCTCCAAGACTACAGTAATCTAATTCAGTTACCCACGAAGCTACAATAAAGGGAAAATTACAAATTTATTTCTAATCGGGTCACCGTTTCACAATGTAGGGTAAAGGAAATAATGAGCTTGTTAGGAAATAAGCATATAAATTCAATCACCAGTTAAGGAAAAACACCTTTCACTTACTGGTTTAAGTTTCTAAAAATTTACACAAAGTGTCAAAATTCTCTATAGACATAATATTTATGCTCTTCAATGCACATGTAACTATTTGGCAGGTCAAATGGTCTAAACTGTAGACTATCCCTACATCTTCATCTGCTTCTATTCATCTTGTCCTGCCTGACCTCTGCTCAATGACATCTTTGTTAGAGATTAAATGTGTTAGAAAAAAAAACTGTTAAAACCAAGGTCTCTGTGGAGCATCTCTAAAGTCAGGAGATGATAATGGCACTCGCTGCAAGGGTCTAATGACACAGTAGGAGATGCACCCAGTCATGTGATGTGGAAACCATCAAAAGGCCTCCTTGCCCAAAATATCTTTCCTGTTGTCCTGCCATGTTCCCGAAATTACTATCATTAGGATCAGGCATTTGGGTGTAGGTAAGGCATTATTTTCAGACAATGGCACGGTTCCTGTTAAGTGGAACAGGTCTTACATGGGATGAGAAATGATTCTTTTCAAAACTCACCTGTGCATGGGAGAAAGGGCAGCTATGTGATGATAGGAGCTAGGGAAGAGCAATCTGAAATATGGAATGAGATAGGTGAGAGCAGGGCCTTGGAGAGACATAAAGCAGGTTACGGCAGGCCCAGGCAAGCACAAAGAGGAGGTGGAAAAGGATGTCAGGGGTATGTGAATGTGTATAGGGAGGGTGGGGTGGGACAGAAGGAACAATGTAGACAAACTTCACAGAATCTCAGACAGCCCTTTCCTTACTCAAACAGAAATCCTCTCTACATCATTCTCAACAAATGTTCCATCTCTCAAAGAACTCCCATGATAGGTAAGGCATGACTACCTAAGGCAGCCCATTCGCCCATTCCATTTATGGACAACTTTGACAGTTTAACAATTTTGTCAAGGGTTGGCTCTACTAATAATCCTTTCTTTAGAGAGTGATTCCTCCTGGAGACTTGTTTCTTTTCCTAACTTTCTTCCATTTCCTCAGACTGGTTGACCAATTCATGGCACCTCTAGTCTCTCCTTCATCGTCCTCCATTTTATTCAGCACTTTCTATATAGCAGGTGCTGAATAGATATTTGACAAATAGATGAATGAATTTTTTTTACCAGAACCTCTAAGACAGCTAAAACCTATTTCTCATGAGGAGAATCAGAACAAAATACTAAAGTGACTACACGGCCTTTCAAAGCTAGACAGTTACAGAAATGATGGCTGTCAACACTACTTCTGTTCATGGGAGGATGGAATTTCAGAGAGAGTGTTAATAAACAACAGCTTCACCACAAAGGGCTGTCTCTGTTCACCACTTCATGTCAAAGAAGTTTCTGAGAAGTCTGTCATATACGGCCATCATTAATGGGTATAATAACTATAACACTACAATCTGAAGAGGGCCAGATAAAGAAAAATGCACCAAAAAACTTCTAAAGTCTTGGTTTGTTTTAAAGCCTACCTGTCACAATAGCGTAGGTCTTAACAAAGGTGAAAATTCTGGTTTAGCAGATGGTACACTTGGTTAATGGTGCCACGAAGGAACAAAATGGTTATTCCATAGGTTGAGATAACAATAATGGACTGTTTGATTTTTATGGCCAGAACTGTCTCTATCAAGATGAATACTACTATGGCAAGATGAGAGTTCCTTAGCTTGGGCCATCTATTGCATTTCTTTCTTGTACCCAACTCCATAGACAATTCAGAACCAGTTAGGTCTAGTTTAGGGACTAACTCAGCAATCACAGATTTTTGCCAGAAGCTTCATCCAGGATATTTTAGACATTATCTGAGTTTTGGTTCTCAGGAAGCAGTGTGTTGTCATGGGAAGGTCACAGTCCTAAGAGCTGGGCTCAAGGCCTACAACCTCTGCTCCTTACTATATAACTTTGCACATATCACTTCCCTCCTCAATCAAATGACTATGATTTCTGCTCTGCCTCTCTGGCAGGGCCACTGGAAGATTCACATGAAATAATGCATGGAAAAATGCTCTGTAAACTGTAACAGTTGTATATGTAATCATTATTATATATATATGCTATATATGTTATCATTATTATTAATGGGGAACAGGTTAGAACTGAATTTTTGGATATTTGAATTTAGGAAACTGATCTTTCCAGTATTAACCAATGGGTCAATTAATTTTTTCCTTAATATGGTTTAACAAATATTAACTAAACACCTATCATGTGTAAGGTATGGTGCTTGCCTGTGGGAACCAAAAAAATGGATGATTACCCAGTTTCTGTTCCTTTAAGGAATTCAGACCTTACAGGTGAAGTTTCTGAAATACTCACTGACCCCACAGAAGAGTATTGAGAGAAATGATTATTAATAACCAATAAATGAAGAGATTCAGAGTTTCCTCCTTTTCTAAAGTCCTCATTTAAAGAACATAGTCTCTGAAGGTTGAACTAACTTTCTCCTTAGTCATGGTCAGACCTCATCCAACCTTACAAGGAATCTCTAATCTGAGATGAATTCCTGCTCATTGTGCTCCACTCAAGCAAGTCTGGGTGAAGGTAGATCCTCTGTCTAGATTGCCCAAGGCTGGGAGTAGAGACAGTCTCTTTGTCACTCACAGCCCTTCACTGGAGTGAGCTTACTTTTCTTTGTAAAGTCCACCTCTCATTAATTTTTTTTTTTTTTTTTTTTTTTTGT